GAGACTAAGATGGTGGAAAGTCCAGGTAAGTCCCCACAGGATCATGTCTTGGAAAGACTCATGTGAAGTGGACTCCATTGCATCTGATCAGCCACACTCACTTGAGACTGCAGCTCAGCAGGAAAGGGAGGAGCCACTAGTGACCAGGTGTATGAAGTCTGGAGCACTGAGCAGCACAGAGCAAGATTCATCCCCTTTTCCATGTCCTCAGTCTTTCAGCTTCCCTGGATCCACTTTGCTGTGGTAACAGAACCTAATGTGATTAGTGTTGTCACTCTCCTTCCTGCCACCCTGACTATCTTGCAGATAATAGGCTTTAACTTCATTTAAGTCACATCAGTTTCTTCAAAACTTGTTGGATTCATGTCCTCATCTTTTCAGTGCTCTGTAGAGATTAGAGGAAGCACATTAAGAAATACTGAATCATCTCCCATTGTAAGGAATGTACTGTGTATTGTTAATTTCTAAATGTTGGACTCTCAGTTGATCTTATGACCCATCCAACAATGTGAGATGCACTCTCACCTTGAACTCTTGGGGGAGGGTCTAGGCCCTGCCCTGGATGAAATGAAAGACTATGGACACCCGCATGGAGGGCCTCATACGTGAAGGATTTCATATGGGAAATCCACAAAAAAAGTCATCTGACTTTATAGCCTTAATAGGCCTGACTTGAGATCTTTCCATCTCACCAAGGAAACCTTGAAATTCCTAGTGTGCATCCTGTGGGCTGGCTTTTCACATGTTTCTAAAGTATATTTTGAGTGTTTTTTGTCTGGCAGGAGCCTAAATCTCTTCTTCAATGAGACTTTAAGCCAGATTACAATGTTCTTCTAAATTGGGCACAGGTGAGAGTCAGAATTTCCCAGATGTGAGCCCGTGTATTCATCAATGCACACATTTGCAGATGCAGGTGAGAGCGTCAGTCTTAGCCAGGCTTGAGCCTGTGCACTCAGCAATCTACACATCTGAATAATCTAACACAGGAGCAGGAGTAAGCACATATGTTCCTATGGGACTGTAGAAATAATCAGGAAAGAGTTAGTGGTCCCAGCTAAGTCGAGAAGCCTGTCCCTGGAACTTTGCCGGGATTGGTTCACCATCTCCACTCACAGTTAGAATCTAGTGATGCAACATTTCTAGGTTGCATGAGCTCCTGGATGACTGAAGTCAAGTATTGTAATTATATCACCATACCCAAGTAAATGATAAATGAGTGTCTATTGGGGAACAATTATTCAGGAAAGTACAAAGAACCACTGAAGCATTTCCCTATTCTTCCTACTAGATTCATTGACTGTTGGGAAAAAGAGCATGAAGGAAACCCATGCCTCAAGCTCATCTCTTTCCTCTTCCATCTGGCTAAAACGACCCCCACAAGGTGTGGCCATCGTTGCAGGATCACAGACCAGTATCCTACAGATAGTCATGCAGTCCTAGGGTCGCAAGGGTCTCCTCCATCGATACAACATGCCTTATTGGGGAATGTCTATGGTGAGGTGACCTTGAGAAAGAATCTGTATGTGTTTCCATGTAACTGCAACTTCTTAATATTTGATTGTTATTGATGATTTTCCCCCTAGGCTGGTCTCATACCCACCTTGCCACAAATGAACACACAAAGATTTATGTTGATATGTTGATTATAATTCTGTTGGCCTATTCCTAGGGCTTCTTATTGGCTTTAGCTCTCTTCATTATTAACAAATAACTACTAATTTATGTATATTTAAATGCTCTTATCTTACTGGAGAATGCCGGAGTCATGTCTTCTCTTCCTGGGATGACATATAGACTGCACTCTGCCTATATTTTATGGGTGTTCCTATGACCTCACAGCTATCAGTGAAATGGACATCATGAATTACAATGCCCACAATAGGCTTTCTTCAAGGTTGACCATTGGGAATAGTAGTAGGTATGCATAGTCTATGTTTGAAAGTCTCAGGCCATGGGAGACGCTCTTGTGAGTATCAGTGTCCAGATCCATGAGGAACCAGAGAAATGTACCTCCAGACGAGAGAGTCCAGAGGCCACCAGGACTGCAGATCTGAACAAAGGACAAAGAAACATGTCTGGTCCAGGAGTGATACATAGAAAGTTTACATTTTCTTTGTCTGTCTGTGCTGTTGAGCTCTCAAATGGATTTCTGTTACTCACCTGTGTTGATAGTAGACTTTAAACACTTGAGTTTGTGAGTCCTTTTAGAAATTTCTGTACAACCAATTCACAGTCACACCCAGAAATATGTAGTTTCCACTCATGTAAACAGTGAAGTCTTCCTCACAGCTACCACTCAGTTGTGGCCAAAGCTTGAAGAAGAAACTCCCTACCTGCTTTGCGGTTCCTGTAGGGGGAGGAGATTTCAGGAGAGATTCCCATTGATTTTGTGTTTTTTCACGACAGTACCATGTTGAGCTCTACTCCAGCACACCAGAATCTGTAACCTCAGATTTATCCCTCTTTTCTATTTCAGTTCAGAACTCCAAAGGCCTTTACCGTGTGGTTCTTCCAAAGGACATTTGTGAACAGTTCCTCCATTCTGCACGGAAGAACACCTAGAAAGGCATAAAGACATGTGGTGTGTTATGTGGCACTCTGGTAAAGATCTTAAGATTTATTCCTGAGTTGAGGTGGTTTCTTCCCTTTGGCTGCCCAGGTACTCCTAAAACATAACCAGGGGCTGTGTCTATACATATTACTTGACAGAAGGAAAGTTAGTGAAAAGGCCTGAGCTACCTTGAATTTGTTGGCTGTATTATGTTGTTATTCAGAGTCCCTCTTCAATGTCATGTTAGATATTTTGATTCTAGTCATGGTTAATGCCTGTAATCCCAGCCATTGGCAAACTGAGACTGGATGTTTCCCACAAGTTCAAACCAGGATCAGAAATGGAGTGACACAGTGAAGTAAAATCATCCAGGCTGGCAGACAGAAATGTGGAAATGAAACATGGAGACAGCACCTTGTCTCATTCTAAAAGGAGGAGGAGTCAATAATTTATGTGGCCGCGTCTAAGCACCCACACTGTGCTGATACTTGTAATATAAATTAAATACTTCAAGACCTCCAAATAGACCCAATGGCTGCTGCAGGGAGGCCCTAGGCCAAGGATGTGCTAAGAGAGATATCTTGTTGTCATGTCATCATCCTTCCTTTCATATGGTTACCAAACAATGCACTGGACCAGTCAAGATGGGGAAACACTGAGATGAGGGAGATGGATGAGAGTCATTCACAGGGGTGAGGGCTTCACTCACTTATGTTACGAGAGTGTGAAATTGACAATGTCAGGGAGTGGTAACAATCTATTTTCCTTTGGCAAGTAAAGATCGTATACCATGTCTCCAATGTCATTATTCCTGTGCAGAAAGGAGGTCCCGATTACTGTTATACTCAGAATGAGGAGTCCATTTTATTTGGGCAAGAAGAACTGGGCCTTCTTACCCTAGGTTGGATTCATGTAAGAAAATTTACCTCACTGGTTGCTAGCTGCTCTTCTGAGTGCACTGCCCAGATCTTTCTCTACACAGAGTCAACCCATTCCAGATCAACCTGTCTCTGAGCACATGCAGTCACTAGTGTTCCAGTGCTTAGTCAAAGGTATATTTCCTAGTGCATTTCAGCTTTACTAGTTTGGCTCTTATTCAGTTAATTCTTCAATTTTCCAATTCCTTGTAAGTGTATGGAGAATTCTAGCTTCCCTAGGATGTATGGGAAACTGCTGTAGACTCCATGTACCTTAAAAGCTGTATGGAAGTATTTTAACTAAGTCAAGAGAGTTCATTCTCATGATTGCATTTTGTCTTTATGAAGGAGTACTTGTTATATACATACCAAAATTCTCCTTCACGCAAGGGCTTCAAGTATTTGGACAATCTGTGCAGAATTGTGGTGATCTTCAAGAAAATATATTTCTTCCATAGTGCTTCCTTTGAAGGATTCTCTCCTATTCAAGGCCTCAAACTAACATGACAGGCAGCTCTTATTGGAATGAGACAGGTGTAAGCCACACTCAGTTATTTCTAGGTTTTGAGAGCTCACAGGTATTTGTACTCACTGCTTGGGGAGTGCTGATGTGTGGGCAGTCTTCTGTGTCTTCATGCTTCAGTTGCATAAGAATTCACTTATTTCCCTAACAATAATATACCACGGCAGCAAGGAAATCTGGCCCTTTGTGAATGGACACAAATAGGAGGTAAAACAAAATTAGCACCAATTCACATGAGGCAGCGTGCAAGTTACTCTTCAGGATGTAGATACAGGGCACTGTGGGATTCAGAGGAAGAGGAGTCCCACCTGAGGTTTTGTATAAAGAGGAAGCAAAAGAGAGGTCAATGTCATTGTTAACATGTATCTGTCAGTAGTCTTGGTTGGGATGTCAGGTTTGTGTCGACCCGACCCTTCAGAGCCGTGCTGCCCATTGTTGCTTATGGGCAGGAAGAACAGTGGTTCTTTTGAATAAATGGAGAGCTGCCTGGGCTAATTAGGGCAGAACAATGATGTGACTGAATCCAGACTCCAGAAGATAAATGAAGGAGTTGCAAGGCTGGTTGCAGAGCAGAGGTCATTTAATGTGTGGAAGCTGCTAACTTCCAATGATGATGAGAGGGTGATGGCCATGTGTTCATGAATGTTCCACTTCAGAGATTCAGGACTGAGGAAATGAGGTTGAGAAATCTGCATCAGGGCGACCTTGCAGTTGAGTTCATGGAGATGGCAGTGATCCTCTCATAAGCTTCAATATGGGATCTAGAGGAAGACTGATTTTAAGGGGGTTCTTCCAAGGTCTTTCAAATCTCGGCTATTTCAGACATTTATGTATTCAGAGGACAAAATAGATCAATCCCTCTCCCATCTTCTCCTAGACGAATAAAGTGTTTTCCTGGCATTATGTAGGGAATCATGGTGGGAGCCAGTTTTTTACACTCCTTGGGACCTCCTCCTTTGGTTCAGACATGGGTCTCACTTGGAATTCTTGAATTCTTTTGTCTCTTTAGACGCATCCAACCCAGACAGCCTTCTTGTCGAGTGTGGATGTACACACACATTTTTCTTACCAGATAATGCTGCCAGAAGCAATTGCAGTGGTCTGCTCACCCAAATATAAACAGTGAGTATGTCTGATTCAAGCCTGGAAGGTACAAGTGCAAACTCCTGTATGGCTCAGAACACTTCAAAAACTAATATCCAGAGGGTCTTAACTGATTGCTATAGAAGTGACCCTTTATGGAGCATATTCTAATTAACACCAGCTGTTCTTAAAATATGTCCTGATACCACTACTAGTTTTCTAAGGAAAACTGCCAAGAATTGTCCTCAAAAACCAGAGGTTGAAAAATTCCATACCAGACACTTCAGCATAGTGTCATCCTGTATCATTCCAAATGTCTTCTTAGTCTGAATTCTTTAGCAGAGCCAGTGTTGGGAAAGCAATTAATCATCTTGCTTTTCTTGGACTAATTTTTGTAGTCTGGAATGTGTCCCAGGGGATCTAGTGATCTCAGGTTTTAGCACAACCCCCACTTGTTCCTCACAATGTTTGGCCTGAACAGACCTAACTTTTTGCTTGATTCTTCTTCTTTCTCATTTCTATTGTTGAGTTCCCCTGTTCCATTAAGTCAATCTAGATGAAAGAGTTCAGAAGAGAGAAAGACAGAGAGAGACATAAACAGAAAGTGGTAAGAAGAAGAAGAATGAGGAGGAGGTCAAAGAGAGCGAGAGAAGGAGAAGAAATAAGAGAGCAGGTGGGAGGTGGATTGGGACTATGACAAAGAAGACAAGTTCTAACACAACCAATGACAGTGATCACTCAGAATAGAAGGAGGACTTCCACATCATTTGTGAGGGAGGAAGAATTGTGCAGAGAAGAGGAGAGACAGGAGGAGAGGAGGGGGAAAGGATACAGAAGTGAAAGAGAAAGGAGAGAGTCATAGGAGAGGAAAAAGAGAGGAAGAAAAGAAGGAAAAGAGGAGAAAGAGGAGAGAAAGGTGTAGACTAGAGAGAGGAAGGAGACATGTGGGATATCTGATTGACTGTGATGTTGACTTTTCTCATTTCAGAACTGGAATTTTCACACTGACACCTTTTGGATTGAACGAAATATCAATCTGCACCCAGAGGGGCTTCCATCCCCATAATCAGGACTCAGCTATATTCTGTGTATGTATCAGTGAACAAGAAATCGAGCCTATGTTCCCAGCCAGTACATAGACCCAATAAGCTTTATCATCCTTTTCTCACCTTCATGGATGTTTGGCATCATCGCACACCTTCCTAGAAATCCATTATAACCATTTATCTAGGAAGGAGTGAGCAGTGGATATAAGTGTCTTATATTTGAAACATTGTCATTTGCTTTGTTTGAGGATGCTGACAATCCTACCCCTTTTCCTGATGTCTGGAGATACTAATACTATGCACTTTCCAGGCTGTTGAGTGGAGAAGGGAAGAAGGACTAGGGTGGACTCAGGGACAGAGGGTGTGCTCAGTAGGTCTGATGTCCTGGATACATCCCTAGGAACATGGTGAAAAGAAGTAACTGACAAATCATGGACTCCATTAGCTTATTCAAGATTTATTACATGTTAATTTGTTCTTCATCATTGTCAGCTACTAAGCATAAGTTGGTGATGTGGATGCCAAAGAAAGGGCCAAGTAAGATAGGTAAATTAAGCATATTCATCCCAGAGTATTGATTCAAAAGCAGGGTTCTCAGGTGCCTAGGGAGATGATTTCTTCTCCAATGTTTTGTCTGAGATAATACACTTGGCATGATCAGACCTCAGGGCTTAAGATCAGTCTCAGATCAATGAGATTCTGGCACTTTACTTCAATCAGCCTGGACTTTTCTATTCAGTTTAATTCAGAGAAAACTTAGTACCATTGTGAGAAGACCAGAACCATGTCCCATCAAATTTGTGTTAAGAGGCAGGGATAAAGCCAAAAAGATTCACATTCAAGGAAGACTGAGATCCTAGGATCAGTGTGCTAATTCCAAGAGTTAGAACTTGGTGTCTGTATTATAAGTATCATAATAAATGTGTATGAGCATTTGTAAAGAGTTTGCATCATACTCCTGATCCTAACAGGAAATTGAGACCTAATGACATTTCAACTGTCTTTTAAAAAACATGTATACACATTTATATTTCATTATGTTTATTTATGCAATTTCATTGTGTAGTCATTTAAAATTAGACCCTTCGTTTATTTTAATTCTGTGTCTCTGTGGATTTGCACATGTGAGTTTAGTGCTTGTCTGTTACAAGAATTCTTCAGATGCCCTAGATCTGGAGTCAAGCAATTGTGCACTGCCTACCTCCCTGCAAGAGCAGTGGGTATTTTTAAACAAAGCACCATACTCCAGCACCCATTGTCTTGTCTCATGTGTAAACCCAGTGTTTTCAGTTGATATGGGGAAAAACTTTCTAGAAGATTTGTTCAGAAACACATAACTCTAAATTGGGATATGGATAATGCTTATATACTAGGATGTTGAAAGATACTGCACACTTTTAATCAAATTATCTGGAACACCATTTCCCTATTTCCCAATTGTAAAATCTTCTTCTGAATCTGGCCTGGTTATCCTAAGGCTATGTGTACTATCTGGGACATATGAGACACTCTTTTGGTGTAATATGAAAAGTGTAAGATTTTTCCCAACAGTTTTCCATGCCTTAACCAGATTTCCCTCTGTCCAATTGCAGGACTGCAGTCATGTCACCTTTCAAAACAGCAGGGTGACCATCAGGGATTTGTGATGAGTAAACCAAAGTATGCACCCACCTCAGTGGGAGTGAGTGTGTGTGTGTGTGTGTGTGTGTGTGTGTTTTGTGTATACATGAGTGATTGTTGGGTGGTGTATATATCTGTATATATGTTAACCTTTGTCATATTGTATCTGTTATGTATGATTACTTGTTTATATGTATCACACACTGTGCACATTCACAGTGCCCAGATGAACTGACCTTTTTATTGCAGTTTTAGCAGTTAGGAAAAAGGATGGATAAAACAGAAGATTGTGACACATAATGGCAAGAGGTCTAGAGGACACATCCTGATTCTAGATGTGAGAACACAAAAAATTCATTTTACTTACAAGGTGAGGTGACTGTTTCTGCCATGTGAGAAAGAACTTTTTGGAATAATGCACAGGTTGGGAAATGTAATTATTACAACATCCTGGAAAAAACCCTTAGTTCAATCTCCACAACACAGAAGAAACATAGTCTTACATATGTTGGTATTTGACAGTATTTGCAGTTCATAACTGTACATTGAGGGTATAGGTTTGAGTGAGGATTGGCTTGCTTGAGTCAGGAGATAAATTTAATCAAAAGTGTATCCTACATAAAGTACAATTCCAAATTGTGAATATACATTTACGTTTCTTGTTTTAGCCTCCTACATTTAAAATGTGACCTGTAGCTAGAAACCCTTTGACTAATGACTTTTCTTAGTTAAAACTGTTTAAATGAAAGCATTTAACTTGAAAAAAGGGAAGTATATTACTTGAGAAAGTAAAGTACAAAACACAAATTTTTAAATTTTCTCATATTAGAATCATTTACAGATTTTATACACTGTACAAAAAGGAATAAGACAAAGGGGTCACATACTTCATGTGAATAAGGTATAATAGTACTTGTAAGAACATGGTGGGATCTCAAATTTGATAAAGATTCCTTCCATTGAATTGTAGAAACCCATTGTCAGAAAGGATTTGGACATGAATGGTGGCCTCTGGTTACCTCTTCACGATGACCAGGTGCTTGGTAAACTATTCATTCTTAAATCCATTTACCATATCTATCCCTAAAGGAAAGCAAAATTTATTTCCATCACCCAGATATACAATCATCTGGACCAATTTTGTTTTTTGTGCGAATATCTGATAATGCAATATTTCCCTACATGAAATCTTTCAGTAACTCATCTGTTATATTATTTAGAATTATTAATATTACCCTCATGTGGGATATATTTAATTGTTCTTTTCTTTTTAAATTAGTCCTATTACCTATGAAATTTTTAGTTATTTAATAAGCAGTTAATTCTTTTTTATTTTATATTCATATATTGGGAAGAGCTTTCTAAATTGAATGTTGCCACAAATTAACCCAGTCATCTTCCCGTTCATCTGAATTACAAATAGATATATTTGGCAAGTTTGTGTTGCGCATATAAATCTGTGCTTTCATTTAATATTGCTTTAATTTAAGTTTTAATTGTTTTATTATTGTGAAAGGTTGTCACAATTCAGATATTCATAATTCACTCCTCTTCTAACAAAATTTGCATAACTGGAGATCATACAATTAGTACTAAGGAATTAACACACCACTAATCTAATAACAGTACTTAATGTATGAATTATTTCTTCAAATGATAAGTTAATTATGCAATAATATTTTGCTCCTACTCTACCTGTTGCTTGTTTGAATTTTTATGCATCTGTGGGCTAGAAAGACTGATTGCATTTGCAGCACAGAGGAAGAAAGCAAAATTAGGTTTGCTATTGGTAGTTGACATAGATTGTAAGTGCTCAAACTCTAAGTCACATTTGTAGGATTTAGCCAATATTAATTCATGGGCACAATTCATTGGTTAATTCATTAATAGGCACAAGTAAAGAAAGATGCCTTCATGATTTCTGAGCAACAATGCTCATCCTCAGTATTTAGAGACTACAAGTTCATCAAGTTTAGTTATCCTCTGTCCAGCTGTGTTTTCATCTGTAAATTGGGAATAAACTCTGGGTGATTAGGTGTTATAACAGTAGATAATACATAATATAATTTACTATTGCCAGTCTTTAATATTCCGCAAGGCCCATATCTTCATTTATTTTTGTATTCTGGGATCATTGTTTCTCAGATCTCAATTAAGGAAAACAACATTAGAGTTCTTTGTGCAAAATCATGTACAGAAAGCAGATGTCCTCTGGACTGAGCAATAGATGGGGAACATATGTAGAACTTCAAGTTGTGTCTCCATCAGATCTATCCATGCTCATTCTTCTCTACATCCTTGTGCACTCTGAACTTTACATTAGTTCAAGTGAAATTTGATTATTCATTTTTACAAAATAGTGTTACTTAAGTATTATTACTAACCCTAATTGTAAGCATTTTAACAACTTTGCAGTAAAAATGGCACTCCCTAGAGCAAATTGGGAGCATGGGGAAGTTGTGAGGGAAATAGAAGAAAGAGGAGGGAAGAAGGGGAGGAGGAGAACTTGAGGAATCAGGAAAATTGTGTTGGAGAAGAATAGAGAAGGAGAGCAAGAAGAGATACCTAAATAATGCGAGGCATCATAGGTTTAAAGAGAAATCTTGAACTAGGGAAATATTCAGAGATCCATAAGGATGACCCCAACCATGAATCTAAGCAAAAGAGTAAAGGCTGCTCTAAGAGTCCTTCCCCTATAATGAGATTGGTGACTATCTTTAATGCCATTGTAGAGCCTTCATCCAGTAGCTGATGGGTTTAGAACCAGAGAATCAAAGCTAAGCACTGAGCATACTCCTGGAATCCAGTTGTAGAAAGGGCAAGACCATGCATGGGAAACCCTAAGACACAGCTGACCTGTGCAACTGGAAGTTAATGGACCCCAGTCTGATAGCTGTGGAATCAGCATAAGACCCAACAAGGCCTCCTGAATGTGGGTATCAGTTGGGAGGCCTGGGCAGTCTATAGGAACTCTGGCAGTGCATCCAGAATTTATTCCTAGTGCACAGATGGGTTTTGGGAGCACATTGCCTATGGAGGGACACTCTCTCAGCATCGACACATGGGGGATGGCCTAAATCCTTTCCCAAATGATATGACAGATGCTGATGATCCCTTAAGGACACCTCATGCTCCCTGGGAGTGGATAGGGGTGGGAAGGCAGGGTCACTGGGGACCAAGGGAGAATGGGAGTGAGGGGACTAATATGGGTATGTAAAGTATGATTGGTTTTAATTTAAAGAAATTTTTTTCAAAATGATGGAAAAAAGAAAAAAATGGCACTGCTCTTTCACCTTAGGCTTCACATATTTATCTGATTACACTAATAAGATGTGAACCTCAGCTGTTCTATTTTACAGAGGAAAAACCAGGTTAACCATTGGTGTGAAAGACTGAAAACTTGATTTGAAGCTCTTCACTAAAACTAAAAGTCAGGTAACATTCTGTATTTGTGCATTCCTGTTTTACATTCTCCATTTGTGCATTCCTGTTTTACAAGTAGTCACACTCTATTTTTACATTAAGAATTTTATTTTTCTTCAAAAATATTCATTATCAACACTTATGAGAGAGAATATGAAGATAAAAGTAAAAACACCATTCTGTATTGGGCTAAATTTGTTTCTCAGTTGTTAAACTGGTTGTGTCTCTTTTAGAAGACCTGGGTTCGGTTCCCAGCACCCACATGGTAACTGCCAGCCACCAATGACTCCAGCTCCAGGAAATTCCATACCTTTTCTGTATGATGGGGAAAGAGCATATACTCACATTCATATAATAAGAATAAAAATCCTTCAGGATAATGGACATTCATCTCATTAAAGAATCACTTGTATGCAGTAAATAGTATTTTAATTAATTTATTTAATTATTTTTATACTACAATTTGTATGGTTGTCACATTGAATGTGACTTTTCTTAGGATCCTTCATTGTACACAAAAAGACAGATTATTATGGAATGATTCTTATTTAGACCACTTTTCTATGTCTCAAGTACTTATTAAGCTAGATTGCATTTTGCAAACTCAATTTGTGCTTTTACTCTCACATTATACTGCCATGTGAAGCTTCTATAAAAGTCTTATTTTCATAAAAACTCAAAAGTATTTCATTGTGACTATAAAGGTTGATTTCTAGGTTATTTTGAAGCTCCTGAATTCTATATCAATGGAAATATGTGTAGGTTCTATAATTGTGTAAAAATATACAATTTTTGGAAATGTAATTTCTGGGACTTTGCAGTAATATACTTAATGGGTTCGGGTTTTATCTGCTGATGTTTCAACTTTGCCAAATTATATGACATTAGGATTCTAATGTGTTTCTTTGTTATCTTATTTCTACTCTTGTATGTTGATTGGACCTTCACTATGATATCAGAATATATCCTATTGTATATTTTAGTATTGAGTAGAATAAAAGACAGAGTGCAGTATGTTGGTCAGTGGGAGGAGTACTTACCCAATATTTGTGAGATGAGATTTATTAGGAAATTTGTCTGAAAACATGCCAAAATATTTGAATTACCTGTGGCTTTGTTGGCTGTAGTAAGAATTCTATTTGTTTTTGTTGTTATATACTCTCACCATGTAACCCAGATTGGCCTCAAAATGCTGGTGTTTTTATCTCCTTCTCTTGATATAAGTAGTAGTACACATTTACACATGTTTAAAACTATGCCAACAGTAATTTTTTCATGATATTGCAGCGAAAGGATTAGTAAACCAAACTTCCTGAGTCACCGTTTCTCCAACCAGTGCATTTAAAGAATGTGTTTTGGAAAATTCAGGTCTGTATTTGGCATGACTTTGTCATTAGCACTTGTTTATAGTAACCAAATTACATGGTGATTAAGGGGCATGAGGAGAAATAATACGGTATAATGATAATAGATTTATTTTCTCAATTTCAGGCTCACAACTGACAACTTGACTTTGATACTTCTCAGTGGACATTGTCTGAGAAGCTTGTTTGATAACAACTTGACATAGGAGTTTCTTGGTTAAAGGAATGTAAGTGTGTTACTTCCATTTCTCA